TTCCTTGTGTTTTTTACTCCATAGATTGCTTAGCTTTGAATTGTTACTGTGTGATTCCCACTTTCAGACTTGGGCTTGAAGTGCAAGTCTGCCACAAGGATGTGCCATGTAGCCCGGGAAGAAAACCAGCAGGTCTTTCATCATTATTGCCTTGTCTCTCTGGGTCACAGAGAAGCAATAGCCGCAGTTCAAGACTGTGTTCAAAGGAGAGATGTCAGGACTGGATTGTTTTCTGGTGAAGGAAGGATGGATAAAATATTAAATGCAATTTTCTACTTGCCCTGATCTTTGTGTTTTTTGACAAGAATATCACAGTGTATTTCGATGGCTCTATAATTCAGTGCCTTCAAAGATTTAAATGTATACAGATTTGTGAAAAAATTGATTTAATTGTTCAGTGGTAGAAATCTCTGTTATAAAAATCAGTGTAGATGTTGTTACAAATGTTTCTATGTAACATGTAAGATATTGTGTCCCAAATAAGGAGCAGCATACTTTTCAGTGTTACTCAGTCCAATTTTCATACACCTGCTGCTATAACTATTATAGAATTACAGAATCCTTAGAGTTGGAAGGGACCTTTAAAGGTCATCTACTCCTACTCCCCTGCAGTGAACAAGGACACCACAGCTCCATCAGGTTGCCCAGGGGCTGATCCGTCCTCGCCTTGGAAGTCTCCAGGGACGGGCATCAAACACATCTCTGGGCAACCTGTTCCTTTGTGCATTAAATTATAGTTTAATGCTCAAAGACATTTTTACTTTCTGAGTAGTAGGGTAGTTTGCCCATGAAAATTTTGGAAGAGGTGTGCCTGTATTTATTAGTCCAGTCTCTCAGCAGCCTTTAAGCCTCTTGGGAAATACTGATCACACCTGAGAGTGGGCAGCGGAAGGGAGAGAGAGGCAGAAAGGAGCTGGAGAGCGAGCCCATGAAATCTTCCTGAAAACTATTAGGTTGGGTGCAGGAAAGACGAGACGTGCTGGTATTGGCAGTGAGGAATAGGCTTTGGGGTGAGCTCCACCAGTCCTGGGGTGGGTTTGTCTTGGGGGCCGCGTGTCTGCTGGGCGGCTGCAGGGAGCGGTGAGCGCTTGTGAGGGTGGGAGAAGAGCTGCCCGTGGGGTGCTTCTGAGACCGTGTGGTAAAAGGAAAGGCTCTTAGGGGCAGGGGGACATCTGTGGTGCGTGGAGGGTGCTGCAGTGGAGGGAGAACGTTCCTGGAGGAGGTAAGAGGTGATGAATGCCGGGTGGAGGAGCTGGTTTTATTCTGGTAAGAAGTAGTATGGAAGAAATGCAATACATCTGGAAGAAATCAGACTCCATGGATTTCTCTGTTCACAGGACTATTTGTTTTTGTTTCTAGAGTATACGTTTGTTTGGCAGATGGTTGTATGTTTACCTACTAATCTACCAGCTCTTTGGTTGTTACTTTATTTTGAACTAGAGCAGAATAAAAATTACTCTGCTTTTCCAGCAGCATGAGTTTTCTCACAGAAGATGATCATAAAAATAGCAAACAAGCTGAGATGTGTGGCCCAAATCTCGTGTCTCATCTGACGTAAACTCGGAATTGCTTCAAAATGTGCACACTGAAGCAGTTACTGGTCCATCTCTTCTTCTTAAGCCATAGTTTAAGCCTAGGTAGCTTCCAACATTATTTCAACATTATTCCAACACGAATTAAGCTTGACAGTCCTTTTTTAAATCCAACATTACTTAAAATTCTGCAAGTTGTGTATACACATGTCAGCTGAAAGTATTTGAACTGGATTAAAGCTCATTAAAGATGGTGAAGTCTGACTGTGTCAGTGGGTCCAGGTTTGCAGCAGCGTGGCACCGTGGCCTTTTTTGCCAATTCCTGCCTTTGACTCTGGGTGCATTTTGCTTCCTGGCCGTGCGTACAGCCCCAGCTGGGAGCTGCAGTGCTGTGGGTCTCTCAGGAAAGCCCTTCATCACCCAGCTCCCTGCAGCCTGGAAGGGAGCAGACGCTGCAGGATGCAGAGCAATGCAGTCGCTCTCCTTACTGTCTTTCTTACTGTCCTGTGAGATTTGCAGCTACCGAGGTTGCTGTTACAGGAAAGAATGGCAAGGCAGCGAGGGCAAAGAGATGGCTGGAGACAAGGGAGGGCCAGGTGTAATGGAAAAAAGTTGCTGTAACTCATTTATGTAGGTCTTTTCAAAACGAAGAGGCAGAAAGGGTTCATATGATATATATATTGTATAAATTGTCGGGTTTTTTGTTCTGTTTTTTTCTGATCTGGAATATCTTAAGTTTCCCTTCGGTTATAAATAGAATGTTGCTGATACAAACACTGGTACTGATGTATATTTGAGTGGGTGTGATTTGGTAATAGCTTGGGTGTGGCAGGCAGGAAACAAAAGATGTAAACAATTTACAGCCACTTATTTTTTTATTAGAGCTTTTATCTTTGTAACTCTTACGAGTTGCCATAGATACAGTCAAGCTAGGGCTTGTTTGTGTTGATGAGAAGCCTGTCGTGCTGATTAAAAAGAAAAAAAAGTTTGAAAAAGAACAATCTGCATTACTTCAGTTCTACCACTCTTGCCAATGAAATATGCTTGTATTTACATACACAGTTAAAAAGGTGGCATTTGGTAGTATATGTTTTTAATGTAGTACTTGGTAATTTGAGTTCGGTACCAAAAAAATCGGTCTTTAATTTAAATTGGAGGTCATATTGACAGAAACAAATTACTGTTCTGTCAATTCACAGATGTGGTTTTCCACTTTCTAACGACATTGTAACATTTTTTTTACCTTGTAAAAGGGGATTACAGGATGATAGCAGGCTCATTGATTGGCTCCAAGTGAATGTGCACAACTTAATGTCTTGTTATGGCCTTGCATCAAGTAGATGCTCTTACCACCCAAAAATTCGGTACCTCAAGTGATAAATGCATTGAATGTGTCTTACCTCATCTTAATTCCAGCTGCTCAGTCCAACAAATATAAAGCAATTATTGGATTATATGTACCTCAACAATTAAAGAAATAGTTTTAGATGAAGAAAACTTAATAGAAAAGCTACTGATTTTTAATTTTTTTTTTTAAGGTTTATTGAAGTATGTGCTGGTGGTTCAGCTCCAGTAAGATATTTCTGATGAGTTCTTGGCGTGAGTTTAGGGAGGCTGGTGGCTGTGTTGTGTGTTTGCTGCTGCTCGGTATCTGTAGTGCGTGTGGAGCTGATAGAAGCATTGCTGAGATTCACTATGTAGGAAGAAGAGAAAAAAGAAAAATATATTTGAGTCCGTTTAATTAAAATAAGTATGCACATGGCAGTTCCTTGGAGAGCCGAAATTAGTCACAACAGCCCTGGCTAAACAGAGTGGGATGAGCGGCAGCTTAAGGCGGGGTATTGTTCCAAACCTGTGGAAGATAGAGAGTTTAAATGATGCTATTCCATTTAGGAATGCAATGTGTTTTAGCATTAAGGCTGAACAAATTCAGAGCACTGCTAATAAATGGATTATGCACTGGGGATATGTCTGGCTTCAGCATGGATGAGCAACCCTTGCAGCTGCAGCACATGCTTTTCCTATGAGCAGTGAGGCTAGGTGGTAAATCAATTAATCTATTAGCAAAAGCTACTTCATACTAGAGAGCAGAATCCCTAAGATCAAATGCTCATGGTGCTCGAAAGTTGTGGGCTTCTCCTCCTCTTGCCTCCAAGCTTAGCAGCATTCATTTAACTACATTAAGGCCGTGTTAAGAGAATAGGATTTGATCCACTATTGTAATTTAATAATCAGATATAAGAGAAATATATTGAGCAGTATTGTTCTGCTGGTGATTCTGACTTTGGCAGCACACACATGGAAAAGCAATAGAGAAAACAGTGTAAACTTCTTCCTTGCAATATAGCATATATGTTTTTTCCCTATCACCTTTCAGTACTAAAATAACGCTGAACTGTATTTCTAGTGGCTGAAATCAAGATCATACAGGAGGTATTTCCTGGGGAAAGAAAGGTAGGTTAAGAGCAGCAATAAGTAGGCTTGGTATTTTAAAAGTCTTGGAAACTTTTGCGAGAAGTTTTATAGATTTAAAAAATAATTCATACATTCTTAGAAATTAAAATCTGTTTTTTTAAATTAGAGCATTCTATTTTGCCAGAAATCAATTGGAATTATTAAATGTGGCCTTCAAAGGATGGAAAAAAGGTTGAATGTAGTAGTCAAGTTTCTGTTTTAAACTCAGCAAGACTGCAGAGTCTATACACTATGTTCATTCAGTTTCTAAATACTCAGACCATGGGATTCTCAGGCCCAGATCAGAAATTAAGGTAGTTTTTGGATGCTATCTCTGTTCAGAAGACCAGGATGACGTATTCAGTGATTGAGGAGCTTCAAACCAACTTAAACAAAAATTTAGCATCATTTTACATAACAGTACACGAATATTTGTCTTCATCATCTTACAGTGTCTGAGTCTTTCTTGTGATTTCTCTTCATTTGTCCATCTCAGCAAGATGGTTCAGTATCTCCTCACACCAAGTCTTTTTCTTCAGGACACCCAGAGGAGGGCATCTGGGTCCACATGTTATGGCAGTAGCGATGTACTCACCCATGCACCACTCACCTCATTCCAGTCTTAGATGCCGGACATGGAATAAAGATTGCACATTTGACATACTAAAGATGGTTTTATCTACTGCAGTTAGTTCTGCCTCCAGAAGGCTCTTGAAATTATATGGGCCTAATACATCTGTGGTTCATATGACTGTAGCAAGAGAATTATCAGTATGTTTGTCCTGTGTTGTAAACAAACACTGTGTAGTTTTATCTCGTGCTTGTTTCCACTTGTTTCTTTACTCACTTTTTAACTTGGTGAAACTCAGAAGTACAGAAAAAGAAGTCTTATGTAATACTTCCAGAATGACGTTCATAATACATGTAAGATATTTAAAATAATCCAGCAGTTGGTAGCTGGAGGAAACTCCCTACTGTTCCAGGACTTTGAACTCTGCTGTGTTTTCTTTGTAGGGCCTCAGTATGTCCGGTGGAGGTCAGGCTGGCTTGGGGACTCCTTCATCCAGGCAGTATGCACGACAGAAAATAACGCGTGTAAACCTCAGGGACTTCATCTTCTACATGGAACAGGAACGAGAAACGAGCCGTTCTCTCCTGCTCTATCGAGCTTTGCTTAAATAAAGCCAAGAATTGTACTGATTTCTCCATACAGAAGTTCAACTTGCATTGAAAAGCTGTCATTTTAATGTGCCTTCTATTTTTTTCAGAAGTCAATGTTCCGGTAATTTTGTTTTGTAAAACTGTCAGACACATGCAATAAATTCCCTTTATGTAAAAAAGAAAAAAAAAAATGTGCAAAAGGTTTTAAAATGTTAAATCCACAGATGTAACCAACTTCAAAGGCTTACTGCGTTTGGCCACATTAGATAAGGCTAAAATAGGTGGCATTGAAGTTACATAAATGGAAAGAATGCCGCAGTGGCTCACGAAGATGTCATGGCCAGGAGGATTGGGACCTGAACGGGGAAAACCTTTGTGTTCACTGACAGTGCTGGTTTTCCTTTAAGGTTTGCCAGCACTATTCCACTAACCATGGTAATACCTGTTAGATTAGATATAATTGCAATTTTTTGCACAGCTAAAAGAATAACCAATGCACGCTGCCACAAATTTGATATATTTAGGATTCTCGCTTTTACAGCACAGCGCATTCCTTCAGCCATTTGCTGAACCAAATCCTAAGTGTATGAAATCTGTGTGTTTGGGTCCCAGCTGCAGTCCATTGAGTAGTTTCCCGTTGTTTTCTTAATCTCTTCAACCTTTTGCACATTTGTAGCAGTTAGTGACATGAATTCTTTTATTTTCTAAAAATATCTTAATTTATTTATTGCAAAGAGTATGGTTTAATGATGGTTATAAAAGAGAGTATTGTTTGGGAAAGATTTTAGAGTATTCTATATGGATTATTCAAGTCACTGTAAAGGAAGCTTTTGGGATCTGGTTCCCCCCTGGCAGTCACGAGAGCCAGGTGTGCCCTGGGGGCGGGTGCTGCGGGGACTGGCGGTGGTGCTTTACCGTGGACGATTGGACCTGAGGACTCCAGTCCAGAGAGGCTCATGAACAGGTGCATGACTTTAAGCATATGGGTAGTTGTAAGTACTTATGGTGGGATGAATGCTTTTTAAACGCTTTGCTGAATTGGATTTTCGGGGGCCCACACCAGAGCCAAGCAAAGTTAGTTCGAGTCTTTTTAAGTGGGTATTGGATAGGATTGCTCAGCAAGGAGGTGGGCACGAGTCGTACTTCAGACGTGACAGTATTACCGGTAACCGTGGAAGGGAGACATTTGCTTATTTATCTTTTTGATTTTTACTACGTTATGCTTGCCACTTTTTTGAGGCAATATTTTTTTTTTTAATGGGAAACCGTAGCGAAAGCACAAATAGAACTATTTGTCCAATAGTTTTAAAAACAAAAGTTTTAATTATTTTTTAAGGTTTATGAAAAGCAGAAGAAAATTTATACTGCTGCTATTTAGCCAAAAGATTATTCATAAGGTATTTAAGGCCAGGAAGTGTAAAATTATGTTTTAAATGTATTGATAATTTGTACATATTGTTTATAAAGGCCTTGTGTTTATTAGAATTACGTTATTTTGATGATTTCTGTACATACTCGTAAATACCCCCAATTTGTGTGAAAACATACTCCCTTATTTGTACTTATTTTGTAAAGAAATAAAACAATTTACTAAAGTAACACATCGAGTGACATAGTATTAATTTATCAAACATGAATTTCACATTGTCTGGTAGTTCTTAAGCACTGTTCAGAAACATTTTGCATTAAAATATTAACAGGATACCCACAAAGAAATATTAAAACCAAATACTTCAATGTTTTGTTGTGCTGATTCTTATCCTTTGTTAAACATCTAATAAAATTGTCAACAAACCTTGATGCTATTAATGCAGTGAATGAATGCACTCAACAGTTGCCTTTTCAAGGGCGATCGGTCCAATAAGCACAACATAACATTCATCCATTTCTTTTCAGATGTGGGAACGGAGCGGTGCCACGGGGTTGTACAAAAAGGGCTTGCAAAGACTGATCTTTAGGCCACAGCTTCGGTGCTCAGCAAAAAAAGGGTCAGAACAATTCTGTTCCATCAAATTAGGTTAAAACCAAGCTACGTTTGCTTTCTGGCCTTCGTAATGAAAACATTTGCTGGCTGCACACCACAGTTTTATTGGAGATTCTGCGATATTTTAAAACCTGTTTTAGCAACACTAAGCAATGTTCTTAATTAAGTTACGTTGCTATAGTTTAAGGCCAGAAGTAAAAATTCAAATTGGTTTTTGCTGATATTGCTGCCTAAGAATACAGGGAAATAAGTAAAAAAGATATAAATGAAACTGTAATAAACTTTAAATAAGTGACCTGAAGTTACTAACTAAAAAAATGTGTCCTAGCTTAACTTTTTTTTTTTAAAGGCATATTTCTTCTAACAAAGTGATTGTTTCCACATGTCTTCCTTGACTTAGTGCTATTCTGCAGTTAATGCTGTGATGTCATGGCTCAAACTTTCTGTCTCAAGTTCACATGAACGTGGCTGGCGCAGCCTGGAACTTTTCACGATGCCACCTTTGCAAACTGCCCGAAGTGCTGGAGCTGCCTTACTGAGCAGAAAAACGAACGGTAAACACCAAACTGAAGAAAAACCAACCAACCAACCACAAATACTTCCAGTGACTGTCCACATACACCTAAACGCGCCCTGCTTCCAAGTGTGTAAGAGAGCTGGCTGCCTTGAACTTCAGTGCAAGTGGGCCATGCTCAGCACCACGCAGGTACGCAGCAGCCGCTCCTGCTGGCAGACAACCCAGGTGCACCTCTGCGGTGGCTTTGCCTGAGTAAGAATGGCACAACGGGGTGTTTTTAAATGTAAGCGTGACATATTCACCTTTATCTCCTAGCTGAGAGGTAACGAAAGGAGGAGGATGCACAGACATGCGTTCAGCCTCTGCTAGTACTAAGTCTCCCTAGACAGAAATGCAGGACAAAAGCATACATAGGATAAAAACAAGGAGCAGAATGGACTATTTAAGGATATTTTGAACTTCAAGTCAACTCGATGTATGAAAGTAATAAATAAAACCATTTTTTCCTTCTCTTTTTGTAAGACGTGGCTACATCAAGCTGAATGGAGCAAAAGGCCAGAGGAGATGCAATCAGAACTTCTCACCTTTCAAACAACGTGGGAGATACAGTGAGTGTTCCACCCTACTTGCTTATTTTTGATCATTTACTTTACAGAAATGTTTATGGCATGAAGTACTGTATAAGAAATGTGCATACACAAATACATGACAATTATACGTTAAGTTCTTTACAATATTAAATGTATAATATACAATTCTACAGGTATCTTACATACAAAGGTGAATGTTGTGCCATATATTCAAATATGGCAATGCCTAGGAACTTTAGAGTGTCATACAAGTATAAAACCACAAAATAAAATAACTTTACAACTCTTTTGAAGTAGACAGATTTGCTCAACGGTTTTGCTAAGTTAGCAGGCCAATATGTATAGGCTAAGAATTTCCTAAGAGATTTCTGATTTGGGCAACCAGGATGAAAAAACCTGCTGAGGTCTGATTTTCCATTGGCAGGCATCCCACATTTATCCAAAAAGCCAGACCTCTGCCGAGGTTGCAGCTTTGCGTATTTAGTACAGCTCCTCACTTCAAACATATCAGTCATAAACTTGAGTCTTTATTTTGCCTGATTGTAATCTTTTGGTATTAAAGAATTGTTAACCATCAAATACTGTTATGTATGGCCATATTTATGCATCTAAAAAGTTTAATTAGAATTCAGCATCTACAACAGTATTCTATAAATGAACATGGGAGAAACTAAATTGTGATTAACACGTGAATTAGTTATTGAGGATCCAATTGTGCTAAACAGCAATAAAGAGGATTTAGCAGAATGCTATTTATAACCTTGCACCTGCAAACATGGTGCTGTCTCCTGAGTTAGGAAGCCCTGTAAGTCAGAGAGTTGATACTGATTCATGAAAGGAACAGTAACCTCCTACAGACAGTGGGCTTGTTTGAAGAGAAAATTAAACAGATAGAGGGCAGATACACAATTGGCATTTTAATAATAGTTTAAAATATAGAGGAAAAACAATCTAAACAAACCATGGCCTGCTTTCATCGGACAGTGGAAGGTAGAGGGTTTTAACATCTTTTTGCAAAAATTCCAGACCCATAAAGAGTTGGTTGTCCCCATGAACGTGGTTCATAAATGAACAACAAGAAGTGGCAGAGCCACGATTCCTTTATGATGCAAAACTTAGTTTCTGAGTCAAAACACGACTGGCTTTGAGAGAGCTACAGCTCCACCATAGGTATGTGGCCCTTGTTTGACGGAGTTTTATGTTGTGCTTCCAAATCCCTACTTTTGCATGTATTGCCATAATTGGCCTTTCAATTTTTTGTTGCTTTTTTTTTTGTTTGGTCTGTTTGCTTGTTTTTCAGTACTGAGCACCAGTTGACTATAAATCGGTCCTTTTCTGATTCTAGACTCTGTCCACAGAAAGATATTTCAGTTGGAAATGTTGTATAAAAATAAGCCATTTGCTAGCATGAATGAGTACAATCACAGAAGTGTAACGTAACGGTACGGAGGTGTAAAGCACATCTGATATGAGGAGGTATGGCAGCCAGGGGAGGTTCTCAGTGCAGTTTGTGATGTACCATCTTCCTCTCGGAGGCCGCACTTCTGCATGTCACGTCTCGGGGTGTTGTTGGGAAGGCTGTCGGAATCACTTCTGCTGCTGATAGATTCAAATTGCTTTAATTGCTCTTTCTGCAGAAGTCCGTTCTGGGGTCAGGGTTGTACGAAGCTTTGCCTTTTTCACCACCACAGCTGCTCAGCTCAAAGTACGTTCCCACCGAGCCTGGTATGCTGAGCATGCTCAGTAATTTCATCGTGGAGAGCAGACAGCTGATTTTTCAAACGCGTTTCATGGCTGGCTATGTGACAGGTAGTTTCAGAATACCACTAATTGGCAACATAAAGTCAAAATCTGTTTGCTAATACTGTTTTGCAAATCCTTAGTGTTTCACATAAGGGACTATTAAACACTTCTATGGTTACAGAGGAGTACAGGTAGGGTCTAGTCCAGGGGCTCCTGTTTTATTCTGATCGTTGGGGTAGGTTGCGGTCGTCTGTCTTCACGACACAGCACGTATTCGCTGAACTGAGAGGAATCCACCCCACCACCGCAGGAAGCTGCCATATTAAATCCCTTCTGAAATAATCTTTCAAGCACCTGCAATGTGGAAAAAAAAAAAAAATCAGCTGGATATTTAGCAATTTTAGTGATAAAAGCTTTTAGAAGCACTGGATCTAAATGATGGATTTAGTCTTTTCAGTCTTCATAGAACGAATTTTATTCAGCTATAATTCTGTAACTTAGTCTTAAATGACTACGCTGTGATTAAAGTCTCGCTCTCAGCAAACCTCTGCAGAAAACAAAAATTAATCAAACAAATAAGTGCTCTGCAGAACAGCTTACTACATTATATAGTAAAATACTGGACTGCAGTGATATCGATGCTATCTCTTACTGCTTAAACAAATCAACAGCAGGTTTAAGTCATAATAAAAAGTGCCCATTATTCATTAGTAATGTGAACAGTCTTGCAGATAAGGGCTGAAAGCATCTGCAAGCTCTTCTTTAGGAGATGAAAAGGTTTTAGGAATCTGAGTGACACTTGCACCAGACCTTCATGGAAATTGCAGCTGTGATTTTCCCTTGCTGGAAGGGAGTGCTGCTCCTAGCAAAGCATGGCAAAGACAGGATGTGGAGCCAAGACATGGACAATAAGGAAACATTCTGGCCCAAGAAAGAGGTTAATTTGTATTGCCCAAATATATATTTTCTCTTTCTCCTTCTAAAGAAAACTTGGTGCAATTTAGATGCATGAATTTAAGGAACCCAGAGGCAACTTTAATTTCTGAGACTGTCACACAGCACATTACTGCAGGATATACTGATCTTGGCAATATGACGGGGGCTTTGTTTTCACATGGGTGAGCATGTTGATATACACTTTCCCAGCAGAGCAGGAAGCACACAGACTCTTTGCAGCATTACATGAGAGTGGATGCCAGATCCACCTTGGGCAGATCTGCAGTGTAAGATCCACTGGAGGAGATGCTGTGCTCCCTCCCTCCCTCCGGCAGCTCACCTGAGCCCAGGGCAGTAGCACAGTGTCTCCAAAAGTGACATCTCAGCATGACAAAAGGTACTTAGGCACCCTTTAGTGCACGGGAGATTCCTACCTATTACAAGGGGTCAGAGGGTGGGCAGAGCTCTGCTGCATTACATACAGTGGAGCTGAACCAGACCCACATGTTAAGATTGGCTGAGTAACAGCAATATTCACACCCACATGTGCAATCTCCATCCAATGCTCCTCCAGCCAAACCTTTACCAGAGGCCATGGCACTGTAAGCACTAAGCCAAATTACCACGTAGGCTACTAACACTAATAATACTCCAGCACATACATGAAAAATCAGAACTGGGTCTGAAATTTGTACCATTAAGTGAATTAACTGATCCAACATTTATTTTACAGGCAGGAAAAGTGGTTGCATGAGTTTCTCTGCAGAAAAATGTCACCAAGGAGAAGCCTCCTGCACTGCTCTGTGCGACAGCCCCACCGTGGTGACACTTCCCTGTGCCATCACATGTGCCACCACACTGCCAAGAGAACCTGGTCGTTCCCTAAGCCTGATGGACGCAGTAATGACCCTCACGTGACTCTGCAACCAGCAACTCCAGGGACTCAGTTAAAAACTTGGTCAATTTAGGTAAGTGTCTCAGCAATATCCCCTGCTCCTGAAGGAGACAACTTGTGTGCTTTCGTGGTTTTGCTGCAGAGATCGTTTGATTTCTTTTTAGTATCACCATGAGTGACACTGTGAAGCACTTCGATACCTACTGCAGTGGTACCTCAGTCTTAATGGTTCAGGCCTGAGCTAATTGCTTACAGAGGTACTAAAAATAGCACCATGTTTGCACACCAGACCTCTGCCCTCAGCCCTGCACACAAACCCACGTGAGGCCAAGGTGAGCATTCCTTCTGACTGAACACGTGCTTTGCTTGCCATGCAGAATCTGCTCAAAATCAGCTTGCCCTGAGGAGCTCAGCCTGGCCTTGGGACAAAGTGCCTGATGAGCTCAGGAAGTTGTGCCAACCATATATTTTCCCTGAAAGTTGTAGAAATGAAAGTGCAAAAAAGCATTCCAGTATACAGAAGAAAAAAAGACCCAGGGAGATTAAAAAAAGGGAGAGTTAAAAAAAGAAAAGAAAAGAAATATAAAAAGCTTACCCCTCTCATTTTCTGGGCTGTGCACAGCCTTTAGGACAGAAGTGAGGTAACACACAGGTCCCAGTATAGTTTTACTAACACTTGTTCCTGCTCAGAGAAAGCAGGAGTTTGCTAGGGAGGGAGGAATAAAACATCAGCGAGCTGTTTCACAGGCTGGCATGTGCTTTGACTTTGTGTGTCCCTGTTCTTAACCCAAACAAGCAGGCAAGATGAGGACAAGAGGCAGCTCAGCTACAGGAAAGGAGGCTTCTTCCATTTAACTGGGCAGAGAAACAGAGGATTGACAGGTAAAATTTCAGAGAGAGATGTTACTTCAAAACCTTGCTAAAAACTTTTAAAAATCAATTTGGTTGTAAGACAAAACAAGCACTGGGGTGCCCTTGGCTTGCCTCAGTCCAAAGCAATGGAAGGCTGCATGTTAACACAGGGCTTTTCTTTCCCGAGCCAGCTGTGTGCAAACACACAATCCAGGTAGGCATTACACCCTTAGAGCACTGCATGCAGAACAAAGCGATTCATTTTTGCTACCCTTGCGCTCAGAGGACTGGGCTGCAGGCTATCATCTAGGGTTAGAAAGCGTGGGATCATCAATTTTCTGGGCAAGAAACAAAACTGGTCAAATCCTGTAAACAATGCTGTGAATGTTTAAATACTGTAGAGTTTTAAGGATAACTCGAATGAGGTTGTGCTCAGTTCTATGGAGAAAGTCTCCCAAGGGCTGTTTTCCATGTGCCTTAAGCATTTGTTTGTATGCACCAATGCATGCATGAGACTAAATGGCATGTTGAACATGAACAGATTTAAATTCCACTTAGTGAACTTGGCCCTATGTGCATTACTTTTTTGAAGGTAATAGACAGATGGAGGGAAAGCAGTAAGTGCCTGTAAATAAAACCGGAGCTACTTTCCTATAAATCTCCCAAAAGAATATGCCAAAAAGTAAATGAGTATCAGCTGTGACTCTCCTACATATAAGAAGACAGACACACAGTACTGAATAGAGGATTTGTGCTAAGATTTAATATACTCTGTCTCCCAGTATTCTGAGCACATCAAGATATGGACTCTGATTTTGTTGGAAAGTTTTCTAGATAAAAACATGATATTTTCACTTCCTGCATTTTATTTACATCTTGCAGAATACTAAAAGAATGCAGTATTAATTATGAAGACTCAGTGTTTAACATAGACACGCATCAGAGAATTTTCTCCAAGGTAGGCTCATGGATCTCACCAGCATCTGCTGTGAGGTGTTGAAAAAAACAGTCTCAGTCTTAAGAAAACTATACCAATATGCAATTACAAGTGGGCATTAAATAAGAGCTGCTGTTTTTTTTTGGTTGCCACTACCTACTCAGTGTTGACATTCTGTGTTTTATATGTACAGTTCTTGACAGAAAGCATTTAATTAAAATCTATTTAGAAGTGCTGAAGGATTTATAAATATTGCAGTTGTGCTACCAAATACGTTGAGCAGGACAGTGGGGGACAAAAGCAATGCGTCTCAGTAAACAGCAGGCAGATTTATCACAGCACTCTGAGATTCTTTCAATGTGCTTCTGTTCCGCCAGCCACTGCACCTTATAGCTGATCTCCCTTAACTGCACGCTTTCTACTCCACCTTACTTCCATCTACTGACTCGACATTGTTCTGTCAAAAAATATTGGGAAGTGGAAGTGTTGTGCCCATGTATCAGTGAGAGTCCATCACTGTCAATGATAATTATTTGCTGATCTCATCAGGCTTTTGTCTCAGCAATGCATCATTTTCCAGAAAGAGTTTGAAAACATTCTCAATTATATAGTAAAGTGATGTAATTTAATAAAATTATTTAGACTGTAAACTCTCTGACATAGAAATTTTCTTTTGTAATATGAGCCTACAAAGTGACTCTGACTGATTTTGACTGAATTCAAAACACATTCTAATAGTAATAATTGGCATTCAGTTTTTATTATAAATAGTAATAAAAGCATGCCACTTAATAGAGCCAAGTGTGAGCCTCGGCTGCTTGCCATGCTGTGCTTATCAGTGACCAGCAGTGACCCTTTATTGTTTCAGTTACTCTAATTTCTTGAATGCCCCTGACCATATTGCACGAACAGAGTGTGGCTGAAACGCAAACATGTTTCTCTACCCACTCACCTTAGCTGAACTGCAGCTGCTCCCCTCTCCAGCTCAGTGGTGAATTCATCACTATTCCCACTGTTAGAAAATGGATCTGCCTCTGACCACCTCCAGCCTTCTATTTTTGGGGCAGCCCACTCCAACCCTTGCTGAATGTGAAATTGCTAAGGACTGTGCAAAATTAACCACAGGCAATGGACTGTTAAGTTCAACCAAATAAAACACTTGGAAGTCTTAAACTAAAAATTAGGTAAATCACTGCTTTTTAGAATGGTTTCAGATGAAAGCTTCTGGTACCATACTGTTCTTACCGGTCAGTGAATGCTGTCCAATGGAAGGTGTCAGTGGAGAGAGTCTCAACTTGCTACATGCTGACAATACTGGTAAGCAAGTGCTCTAACTTCCAACTCCTTTGCTATTGTGCCTTCCTCCTGAGCCTGTCTGGCCAGCCTGTCTCACAGGCCAAGTCTGTTGTGGATATTTGCCCATAGGGAAGTTTATCAAGACCACTAAGGCATTTCCCACAGCCCAGCTAGCACCTCTGGTCACAGTGACTTTGGAAACGTGCTCCTTTAGGTTGATTTCAATTTCCATAATGATAATCTTTCTAGCATAATTTAAAGGCATACATGCAAAAACCAAGAGCTCTGTGTTTTCCCATGTTAATTAAGGAGTAAGTTAACAGCATCATCAACACTGTTCCTTCTCCTCAGCCCAAGGACAGCTACACCAGAGCTCTGGCCGCAGTGGTGGTGATGCCTTGTGAAATGGCATTTCTTGCCCAGAAGGCTGCTGCCTAAACACAAACCACGTATTTATTTCCGCTACCACCCACCTATCTGTCCAGTTATCTTCTTTTGTTTCATATGTTTAATTTTAAACCTAATGTCAAAACTCTGAGTATAAAATGAAATACATTTTGTTTAAAATACTCTGGGCAATTTTTATAGAACATCCTTTTGAAAAAAAAAAAAAGTGCAGAGATCAATTTTTTTAAGTCCATCCCGCAGGCACCATCATTTAATTATGAGTGAGACATAAATTATGCATTTACACATTGTTGCATTTTCTATAAAATGGTGTGGAGATTTTTTTTGTAGTTTTTGGAACTCTCTCTTTCTTCCTGAGGGCACTTTGGAGGGGAAAAAAACTGCTGCAGGCTATACATTGATGAAAAAATTAGCATTTATCAGTATAACACCATTATGAGACCAGCATGGCACTAACATACACAAAATCTAAATCTATTTTTCTGCTTAGACTTAGGAAAACCTGAAAGACTGTGATCTCACCAGGCAGAAAATGTCTCCATGCAGTATAAGCACTAAAGGTAATTGGGCAGAAGCAAATAATTTGCATATAATTGAACAAGAAATAAAATTAAAAAAAAAAAAAAAAAAAAGCAAGCATATAGATGAGCCAGCACTAAAAGGCCGTTACCTGCACTGAATTCAACCGGCAGTATCCGTTCAAAGGAAACCTAATAACGTGGGTAGGGTCTTGGTTCCAGCCTGCGTTTACAGAGTTGCACATGACGTCCCCCGTCTCAGGGAAGATCTCTTCTATCAAAGCTTTCTCCCCACTCAATGCAATTCTTTCCCCCAGATCTGGAGTCACTCTTACAACCAAGCAGTCACAAGGCTGGAAATGTTTCCTTTGTTCTTTCTCTTGTTTCCATCGCTCAAGTTCCTTAATCATTGGCTGCAGCTGGTAATACTTTGCTTCTTCATATAAAAGATTAAAGTCCTGAGAAAAAAAAAAATGGAGAGAGAAACTAGAAATGCTTATAGTTCCCTTTTAAAAATGAGTATTGTTCCTGTTTGACCTACTTAAGCTTATGTATTGTCAGCAAGAGTGCAAAGGCAACAGGTCAGGTATCCATGTATTTTGTCATTTTACACCTACACAGAAAACCACAATGTGTTAGTGCTGAATTTATTTGAACTGACCATGAAGTTCCCATTGCACTGAATTATTCTTTCATTTATTATCCCACAATCTCAGTGCAAGAAGGTTTTACTTGTGGATTAAGAACTCAGAATAACTGGTTGCAATAAGTAAAGCATACTGACTTAAGAGAAGTTCTCTCGAGCCCTGATCTTCACTCTTGACCTCAGATATTCACTTCTGATCTTATGACAGAAGATCTTGGATTGTGCTGTCATCCCTCACATATGTGTTACAAGATAGAGATGGCAGTTCAGCTTCTCACCTCTCACCTGGTTTTGCCACATTTGAAATGAAGCTGCAGAAGCTGGGCTGCTCCCTGCATGATTATTCAAGCATACTTTGGAGCTTGGTAAATTATACTGCTGTAGTGACCACCCAGTGGCTGGGAGCTCAGCTGTGTTTACTCCAGCAACTTGAAAGAAAGTGTTCTTTTCAGCCAGCTGTCCATAACCCAACAGGGTCCTTCAGGCAATTCAAATTCCCAATTTGATCCAATTCCCAGTTAATTGATTGAGATGTCATCTGCATATGCTCATTAATAACTTTTCATCAGATTTTCAGTGGATCTTCCCATCTCAGCTTAAACGCGTGGGAATATGCTGAAAAGGGTGGCAGCAGCACCATCAGACCCAGCCAGAGCTGAACAAGAGGGGAAGCACGCAGGGCTGGTTTGCTTACATTGCCCCTCTGCCTCCTGCAGTTTCCTGAAGGGAAGAGAAGCAACTGAGGCCTCAGGGAATTCCTCCCTGAGGACCTGATCCTTGCTTCCTCTGCCCGTTTTCAGATAGAAGTGCAGGTACGCTGTGTGACTTTCTTGGAGCATGCTGTAGGTCATCACCTGGGCATAAAGGCAACTTGTCTACCGCAGTAAGAGAAGGGAATGAAAAATCGTGAATGAAACTACTGGAATCATTTAGACTGGAAAGAAGGGAGTGGCAAGAAGTTATTGGGAAATGGGCACCAAAATTGCATAAGGAAATAACTACAGCACTTCTGCAGAACTCAAAGAAGAAAAAGAATCAAAAGCCATTGAATGTACAGCACAGAAAGGTGCAACTTTTCATAGCATCGTGGAATTAAGCTGCAAAACCTGCTGCTGCAAGGTATTGCCTACTGAACCAAAGCAGTCAGCTGTGTTGGAATTTGGCACCACAGAGCCACTGCCACAAGTGGAGAGGTGCTCCTTCAGCCCAGCACTGCCTTCAGCCTGGAGATACAGGAAAATTAACAGTGATACGAGCAAAGTTATCACGTTACAGAAGGGACATCTGATCCTTTGCATCTCTTTGATGTCTGTTAGGGCTGGGACAATATGCGTACCACTAGTGGAGAAAAAAAGACTGGAGAAGGTGCAGAGAGAAAAGAGTGATGAGAGCAAATGTGAAGAAATGAGGGCAACAAACACTTAAGAAGGATGCAGAAGATGAAAAGCAACATGAAGATAAAGGAGAAATGCTTTAGGAGGCACCTGGCCAGCCAAAGAGCTGCCACCACCTGATGTCAGGTAAGAGTGTGCCAGCACCAGTGCTACCAATAGAAGATTTGGTTTTTTTTCCCAGAAAAATCAGCATGCTCTGCTGAGCCATTACTGCTTTTTCTTCTCCACCTGTGAAACACTCTGGTTACTGCATGTGGGATCAGTTTAAATCTATAGGCATTAGAGGTTTAAATTAAATGCAAAATACAATCCCTACTCCAAACTTTCTGAAATCTTCATGCAGGACACTGTAACAAAACAGTCTCCCACACACCTGTTTGTTACAAAGGTGTGTCAAATGTTTGCTGTGAATCTGCTGGCCCTATATGCCCATTTTGAGCCAAGGAAAGCATGTGATGCTAAGGAGAAATGTAATGCTATAGAGTTAGCAGGAGCACGGAGTGCTCACACATCAATGGAAAGTCTTCCACTGTTTTCAGTAAGTTGCACAGATTTGGTTTTGCAATATTTGTGTTCATGGCTACTATAAAATAACGTTATTTGTTAGGGCAGTGAATTGAATGTGTGCTAGTAGAAACAATATTCAAAGCTATAAGAGGGTGGTATAGCCTTGTAAAAACCAGTCCTTCATTATTGAAAGCAAACAGAGGTATGACACTCCTAAGACTCAACACACTGCTAATGCACTCTCTTCTTGTGCAGGTTTTATAAACCAGTCAGAGAAGTGTGCAGCTGTGACTGGACCAGCAGCGATGCCCAGCTCTGCACTGCCTACACACACACTCAGGATGCTCAGGTAACACTGACTTTCCACCCTTGCACTGTAGATGTAAAATCATATCCTGATGATTTGCAAATGTTTAACACAAAATATCAAGTACAAGAATTTAACCACAAGGGACCCCTGCCAAGGAGGTGCCACAAGAGCTGCAAGAAAAATTTCTCTCTGCTGTTCATTTGGATAAGTTACCAAAGGCAGATGCAAACACCAATCTTTTCAGATCTATCCAAAAAAGGCACATTTCACTGAAAGAGGAACAGGAGTAGCTACAGGGTGTTAACTGCCTAGTGCAGTGGCAAAGTGCACTGTTCATTGAAACCCAGACTCAGAGCAGCTTGGTGTGTCTTCTGTTCTGGGTGTATGATGATAAATGCATACACATACTGTACCCTCTCTCTCTGGTGGAGGCTCCAGTGCTGGCATTAGCAGTTTTGCTGAGCAGCTGGCAGCATCTCAGGGCAGATATGGTGTGGGATCCAGGAGTAACTTGTCCTGGGTCTCCCATCCCCGAGTCCCTGCTAGCAATGGTGGGGCAGTTGTGGACCCTCAATAGCCTTCAACTTCTTGTGGCTGCAGTAGGACTTAGTGGGCAGGTTCTGTGTTATGTGCTGTCATCCAGAAAAGGGAGCAGGCAGCCAGCTGGGAAGCACACAGACTCTCCATCCTCAAATTTTGAACAGCATTTAGATTTTGAGTGAAAGGTCAACAGATCATTCAAAGATGCAGGTTGTTTTGCTTTTGCAAAATAATTTTCTATTCACAATTTCATAGAAAAGGTTTTTTATTTTTTTGGTGGTTGATTTTGTGTTGGCTAAATTCAGCAGTCATCTCTCACAGGGGTCACATCTTCCCAAGGAGGAGGCAGGTATCGTGACTTCAAAGTAAGCTGTGCAATTGACATCAGTGCCAGTCTATCAGTAAACATCTATGAGCTATGAGTAAAGGCAGCCAATAGGAATTGTAAAATAAAAACACATTCTTGTATGAATGTGGTGCTGTTCTCTCAATAGTAAAGTTTATGTACTTGAGTACACAAGACTGACCCCTGAACAGGCTTTCTACCCATTTTTTCTTATTATTCTTTGTTTCCACGACACAACAACTGCCATCCTGACTCAGCATTTCCTTTATAATTCAGTGTCGTGAAGATTTGACTCCTGAACATGAGAGCAAGTTGTTCACTTCTGCTACAATGAGTGCACCATTTGCTAAGGTCAGTGTGAAAGCACTTAAAACTAGACATAGGCATGCAAATTTTAAGACCGTATAATAAAGCAGATGCCACCTGACCCTACAGGTGACCTCAGTAAGTAAACTACGTGAAACTCAAATGTCCTCTGCATTTGTGCTCCTCTCCTCCTTAACGTGAAGTGATAATGTACATACTAGCTATATCTATTTCTGTTGGAAGATCTCTAAGCAGGGAATGCCAGATAAATAGGTACAATGGACAGTCTAGTCCATTGTATGGACTGGTTTTGCATGGAGGTTTATTTTGTGATTGAAGAGGAGAAATGCTGATCATAATTGCCGTGGGGAAACACCTTTCATGGGGAATCAAGGCAGATATTTGGGCTGTGGATGAGGGTCAGTTCCTGTGCTGAACACCCCCTGGCCATGCAGGGTGGCAGACCAAGGGTGTGGGCCCAACACCTCACTAGAGGATGTGTGTCACTTAAGGTGGAGTGGCTCCACACACAGGACTCTGACCAGAGCAGGAGAAGGGAGCTGTAAGCAGCTCCCAGCCACACGCCATTGCTTTGCTCAGCAGACACTGCAAAGCAGAACCTAGCCAAGAGTAATTTCTGAACATGCTTCATGGGGCTTAAAATCCTCCAAGCCCAGGAAAATTATATGAACTATTAGAATGTTGCTTTCAGCAGGGAGACCTGTCAGATTCTAAACACTTTCAAGTTCTGACTTATTAGTAGTTGGAAGTGTAATTAATATTCACTGTAAACACACCAGTCAGACTTGATAATAAAGAATCACTAGCCTAGGAACACATACCCCACTTTCTCTGCTTTTCAGTGTTAACTTAGTCTGAAAACAACGCTTAAACAGCAAACACTGCGAGGTTGGTGTGGTACTAACATTCCAAACTTTGCAAAATAACCATCTGAGCAGCAATTCAAGTTGAAAAGCAACTTGGCTAAACCTTGAGGCTAATAAACTGCTTGATTAAATTAAGGGGTAAAAACTAATAAATATTCAAAACACTTGATAATGCTTTGTTTGACATAAAGAACAGTTAATGCAAGTCTCACTGGAAAACCTGTCAGGTTTTATACCTTAAATAGAGTTTTGCATTTAGAAACACCAAGTGATTCCATTTGCTGCCTTTGATTATTGTCTTCTGTCACTTTAATCATGCTGGTAAAATTACACAATTTCTGTGAAGTCAAATCCGTTTACAATGCAGTTTTAATACAGCTTTGCAGTGCATTCTTCTATGCATTTTTATTTAGTTACTCCCTACCTAGCAATACTTTGCTTTGTTCTTGAGCCCTCATTAGCCTGGGGTTTGCTCTAAAGCTCTCTCAGGGAGGAACCAAATAAAGTACAGTTAACCCTATGCAAAGAGATGGTCTGGAACAACGGACTGAGTTGGGCACAGCGCCGGCTCTCCCAAGTCTCTCCCAGCCCTGCCAGCGGCTCGCTGTGCAGGCAAGTCCTTGGCATCCTCTGACATTCTCCCCTCGAGGCTCTTACTGAATCCTGCTGGTTTTGTTTCACAGCACCTCTGAAATCCATCCACCTGGCTGCTGGTTGAGACCATGATCAGGGTGAACTAGATCTCTTCTACACTCTTTTCTCAGTCTCTCTTTTGCCACCAGATTGTCCAAAACACTGCCGATAAAGCACCTTCCTGAGGCTGTGTCAGTACCATTGCTCCATCCATCCTCTTTAATTGTTCCATCTTGCACCCCACAGGTCTTTAGCTTCAATCCTACCCACACATTTGCTCTCATCTCTCTTGTCTTGCATCCGCCTCTGCCTCTTCCCACGTCACAGCACCCAGTGCCACAGGGCAGCCGCCCTAGCCTGCCAGCCGCTCCCACAGAGCCCAGTGCTCAGACAGCCCCGCAGGGCTGGGCCTTCAGTCCTGCCTGGGAATGCCAAAACTTCTGCTTGGCTTTGGCACAGGAGGTATGCACCCACTGTGCTGCGCGTCTGCTCAGTGTCAGCTGTAAGTGCTGAGATGCCGTGTCAAATACAAGTACACTCGTGATTTAGGCAAAAATGTCTGAGGACCGGTTTGCAGCAAGAGGATCAGCTGTATGCCACAGTAACTATACATTTAGGATGACTCAGGAAGGCCTGACCAAATTACCTTGCCTACCCAGTCCAACATGAAAAATGAAATTTTACTACCGAGCACGGGAACTTTCCTTTCCAGTAACACTCAGTGTCCTCTAAGTCCCCATTAGCATCCCAATTTATTCATAATTTCATCCCGGAGTTAGCTCTTTTGTTGAATCTTGTCATCTAGTTTGGATAGTTTTGTCTTCTAATTTTCATACATAAGGATGACAATGTTGCAAGTTTCAGAAGCACAAAGCCAAATAAACAACACTAGGAGGAGAGAGTTTCAACAATCAGGATTTACAAAGCAAGTTGCTGTCATTATTTCATAGAAAACATGTATTATTGCTCCTTAAAGGTCTCACAATAAATTCTATTTCCCATGAATATTCTGGCATTCATACACTGTGTAAAAGATTACTTATTGAAATCGAAGTATCTGAACTGAATATATCTAGCAGAAGTCCTCATGGATTTGTTTCTTTTTCATGCCAACAAGAAAAAGATTTATACCATTTAATTACTCTAAGTATCAAATTTAAAGCATTTCTACCAGATTCTGAACATTAAACCCTGGTAAGTGCTAGTTGCTGGTGTTGATTCTTAATTGTTGTTATACTACGATAAATAAGCTAAAAATGTGAGAAAATACAATTAGTTTAGAAAAACTGATTTAGCTGTAAGCTTCATCATTTAACTTTTTATGGTATCCATGACAACCATTGGTCCATTTATTAAATAATAGCATCCCTAGCGTAATACACAAGTACTAAAAATCCTAACAATAAACAGCAACATTTAGCTAAGTGTGTTTAGGTCAAGCACACAACCAACCTCCTCCAAAATAAATGACAGAATGGGGGAAAAAAATAGATTGCAGGCTATAGCTTTCCTTACCTTAAAGTCTTCTGGGAGCAGTAGCTTAGATGTCCTTAGGAAGCTTAATATATATCTGAAAATCTCACCATCTCGATCAATGAAATAATGTTGTTTTAAACTGTCCAAGACAATAGGCTCTGTGCCATTAAACAGACGACTTATTCTGAAAAAAAGAAAAAAAGAAAAAGAAGTGGGCAAAAGAGACAAAATCTCATTCCCCCCTCAGGGTGTAAAAACATCCACTCAATATAGCTGTATCAATTCAATGTGCATAAGGTAATGCAGTGTCTTCATTTGGTGGCAAATGCAAACAAACGTAGGAAGACAGACGCCTTGGATGCGTGTGCACACACACGCGCATGAAGTGCCCGTTGGCAACTGCTTCTAGCACAAAGCTCACGTTGCTCTGAATCAGCACTGCAAATTAGGCTCAGAGCCCCAACAAGGGAAGTGACTGTGAAATTCTCACCCTGTGGCTGGCAGGACAATTTCTGGAAGAACGTATTATTGGGTAAGTTATACACCCCTGTTCATGGGTACCATTCATGGAGTACTGGGATGTCACTCAGAGATGGGCTCCTGGATGTGAGCTTTCTCACCAGCTGCGCTGCCGTTTTGATCAACACCATCAAAGCACTTCCACGTGAGAGGTGAGGATACCCATGCACTGTCATGAGCTGTACAGACCCCTCAGTGCTGAATGTTTTGGGAAACCAGCAGCAAGGGTCCATACAGCCCCACCAGTGCCCTACGTACCAGCGTCTGCTGGGACAACATGACCTGCCAAATGCTTCCTAGGCAAAGACAAGGGGTGAGGCCTGAGAGCGTGGGTTCAGCTGGGTAGGTGTAAGCAGAACAAAACACCACATCTGCTGCACTGTGCAAGTTTTCTCCATGTCCTCCTGATAGCACAATGCAGGCTGGGTGTTTGCTGGGCTACACTTCCTCTTGCCTCTCCTCTCCAAATGTCTGGCTTCTTTCAGAAGGCTTTGTCTTCCCAAGAGAAATAACCCAGCTGAATATATGTTCTTGAAAGGAAAATCACAGGAGACAGACAGCAACGACCTATTAAGTAATTGAGTCCATCTCTCTGACAGTGCAGCATTGTTCTCAGCTGCAGAATGTCTCGTGTTTCAAAGTCGAGTCTTCAGTAACCCTGCCAGTGAGGACTCTACAATTTCCCAGTGAGACTATTCCACAGCCCACTAGATTTCACTGTCGAGTGTCCCTTAGGCTCGGCTGTGCAATCCACCGTATCCCCCATTGCCACCAGGGAAGGGATTTTCCCTGCCGCGGAAAGGAGCCCACCCAGCCACTGTGCGAGGTGATAGCCAGCACTGCCAGCAAGCTCAGCAGCTGCAGCCTGGCTGCTCCTGCTCCCCAGCCCCACAGAGAGTGCCCAGGGCATGGCTGGGATGGTGAGCATCAGCCCATGTGCTGGAGGACAGTCTTGCTCACAGCAGTGCAGATGCTTGCAGCTGCCCTGTGCTCAGCTTGTTTTGGACTGTGGGGTCTTTGTGGGTGAAATTTGTTCTCTGCAGCTGCCCCTCAGTCTGGTCTTCCAACTTTTTGATGTAGTTACAAACATAATTAACATGCCATTAATTTCTAAATTAATTGTGGAAATACTAAGTTGGCAATTCCCTACTGAACTCAGCTAAAAAACCCTTCTCCACTCTAACGTAAGCTCCAGGTTTTGCTACCTGCTCTCGTTCCCTTATATCTGTGCTAGCATTCAACTACTCTGAGTTACTTAGAATAATCAAATGCTTCCCTAAGCCCTAATTGTAATATATTTACTGTCCTGCTCCAACCTCTAACTTTCTAACTGTATCAAAAAAATCCAACTCGCGCTGCAACATTTAATTTATATAATCCCAAGGTTTGGCAAGCCTCCAGTAATTCAATATTTTCATTTTCATTGTTATTTGAGGTCTATTTGCTTGAGACAGCTAAATATATTGCTTCATACAGAGCTAAATTTCAACCCAGGAACCAGATAGTTAATTTATTTCCTTAGACGTGCACAGAACCTGGGTGCTGTTCTAGGTTAGCCTGAAAGCCGATAAAGTAACTTAATGTTTCAGTACAAGACATTCATTATTTGTGTGGCTACCAAAAGTTTTGAGAACTCATCTTTCCCATTTACTCCCTAAACAAGCTAGGCTGTGGCTTAAACCTCCTCCTGCTGCAGCCCATCTTCTGTGAAGTCTGCAAAAAGCAAAGCAATGGCTGTTGTTCAGCTCCTTGGTGCATATGGAGGAAGGTTTGCCAGCAAAGAAAGGATGCAGGGAAGACAGGATACAAAATGCTAATGGGTTGCTCTTTAATGTAGTGAAGCTTTTTTTTTTTTTTTTGGTAATGAAAACAAAACATGAATTTTGAGGCCTTTGTAGAGTGCCTTGAGCTGTATTTCTTCACCAGCAAAATTACTGCTGGGGAAAGAAACTTGCAGAGTGTTGAAAGACTTAACTGCCACCCCAAAAACAGAGTGATGAATAGTTTGAGGATTTATTTGACATTTTAGGGGTCTGCTAATGTTCCAGGAACAAGCTTCGCTGCAGCATTCTGAAACGCTGCATGTGGAAAATGCTCCTGTTTCTCCTGCCTCATCAGCACAAGCTGTACCTGCGAAAAACCTATCAGAAAATGCAGTTCTGTGAGAAAAGAAAGTGAACCCAAATGACAGCTTCCAGTAGAAGCTTTGATGCACTGGCTTTACTCCTTATTGGCAAAGCTGTGAAAGCACAGTGACCAACAGCTCCACTACCAGACGCACTCAGCGAGCAGCTCTCAGGCTGCAGAGCACACAGCACTGCGTGCAGATGTGGGGACTTGCTGCAGCTCTCAAATTGGACAGTGGTCACCCCAAAATGTTTGCTTTTATGAGCAGTCCTGGTGCATAATACTTTAAAACTTCATTTTCCTGGAGGAACCACTTGCTTATAGCACATGGTAATGGTGCTCCCAGTGATGTTTGTGAAGTAGAAGGCAGAGGAAAACAGAGGCAAGGCAAAAAGAGCTGCGCTTAGATCCTATACAGATGGGTGAGTCTCAGCAGTGAATGTTTCTTCAGTACTCCCACCTTTTAAGAGATTGTTCAGTTTTGCATTTAAAAATGCTTTTAATTTTTTTTCCCCCCATATTTCATTTCCAGACAGAAGCCAAGCCAGGACCAAGCAAAACAGTCCCAGTGTGCATGCTTTCCCACTACCTTCACCTTCCTGTCCAGGTCCAGCTGTGCTTTGCACCCTTCCCAGCCACACACTTCTCTCACAGTTGTTCCTGCCTTCTAGAATCCCTCCCTGCCACCCAGTCCCACTCCATGTGAGCCCACCCAGGACTCCAGCTCCCAGCCCTGCAGAGCTGGATGAGGAGTGAAATGGTGCCCAGCCTGCAGCTGGATGCTTCTAACCTCTCTTCTCAATGTCCAGGATACATCCTGTTGATCTTATTTTTGCAGCAGCTTTGTGCTTCAGTTGTTTCTGCTAAAGGCTCTTTTACATTTTCAATAATGTTTAGCCAAAATGCCAGGGGGCAAGTTTCTAGCTTTATACCCATTTCACTATGATATTAAGGTCTCCTTTTTTATTAGATCAAAAATAAACAGCGCAGCCAGCCAACCCACAAGGACAAGAGTGCTGGTAAATTCTTTCCTGAGTTCCTTGGACAGGGAAGGAAACTGTGTGCTGTGTGTGAGCACCTACAGACACCCACTGCCACCCACACCCCTGACAGCACTTGTTCCCTGCAGTCCACCCAGGACCATGCAGGCTGCCTGCACCAGAGCACAGCTGGGGAGGATGCATGGGGGCTCGAATGAGGATGCACGCAGCCTCATTCACAGACCCACTCAAATCCATCAGAGAGCAGCCAGGGCTTTTTGCTCTCTGAAGCACACCACATTCTCAAGATTGCTGCCCAGCAGTGCAGCGCAGCTGGGCTTTGCACATCACCAAGCTGGAAGTTAATAGCATTTTGGGATGGGTGAGTGTTTGGAGGTGGTAGTGCTTCCTCCTCTTGGGCTAGATTAGCCATTTTCTTGATAACTCCCTTTTTGAACAGAAAACTGAAGTTCTTTCCTAACAGATCTGATCTCAGGGGCCTTAAGAGGAGCACCAAGTAAGGGGGACCTGCAGGAAAATGAAGCCAAGTATCCACTGAGCCTCCACTGTTGCACCTCGCTCCCCCAGCCAGCACAGCCACAACACATGAGTGACAGCCTTTATCACAACATTGCAGTAGAAGTATTAATTTAACTAATTATGTGATTAATATTTAACCATTCAGTGATATTTTTGTCATTCATAATTCAGTTGTTTGCATATATTAAAAATTTATTCTGTAGACACTTTCTGCCCAATGTCACAGCAGCAGGGAGTGCACATTATAGAGGACTGTCATTAAATGTGGCTCTCTTCTGATTTTATGGAAAGAGTGGGGGAGAAAAGAGGAATGCTTGCTGATGAGCCCCTCCAGCATGTAGGGCTGCACTCCACTTGCTTCTCTGCTCCATCCTTGCTCCATCCCTCCTCCCTTCTGCTCCTGCTAACAGGCTGGGCTTACAGAGCTCTGCAGCTCCTCCTGCACCATGCAGGCTCTGCTGACTGCATGCAGTTCCTAGCTGTTGTGGGGCTGCAGGAGGAGAGGCTGTGCAAGGTGCAACAGGGAGAAGGAAGGGGGTTGTTCAGAGCTGGAACAGAGCCAGGGGCAGCGGTGACCAGCATGACCTGAAGCCACCCTGCTGGATGTGTTAGCACCGTTGGGTGTGTAAGTGGAGTCCAGACACTTCTGCTGAGCCAAAAGGGATGCTGATCTCCTAAATATTTGTTCAAGGTGGGTATGATACATGTTGTTATCTGCTTTGTGGTGAAAAAATGCTGTGAATGGGAGCAGAGGTGCTCAAGAGGCTGGAGAGTACCACAGTATCTGGCACAGCTATCCAGGAAGCCAGGGAGTTTGGTCCCTGGCGAGGAGCAGGAGGGATGGCAAGAGGAGGGACAGGGAGAACATGGCCACAGACTGTCCCCTGCCTCCTGCTCCAATGGCAGCCAGGAGGGAGGGATGGTAGAGTAGTCAAGCTGGGACTCATGCTCCCTCATGCCCCAAACTGCCAGGAGCAAGGCTAAAGATTGCATATGGCTGCAGAAGTTGTTCTGATTT